AAAGCATTAGATACGTATTCTTTTATGTGCTTATCTCGATGTTTAGAGGTCGAAACTCTGAAAAAAACAGACTTTTTCGTTTTTATTTAATATCTCTTAAAATATGAAGTATATGAAAAAGTCTTTCAGACAAAAGTTTTATAGTATTTTATACTCTTTCCACCAGTCTATTCAAATGTTTCAAAATGCAATATTTTACCCCCTCCTCCTCCCTCCTCTCCATTACCTTTGCAAATTTTTAAGTTTTTATAAGGACAAAATTTAAGAGCATTTAATATCGAATCCATCGATATACAGACTGTCTTAAAAATATCGGACCTCCCGAATAATTTTGCAGGATTAAGTTTTCATGAAAAACTTTAAATACAAAAGTTGTAGAAAATTGAGTAACGGACTTGATGGTGACCTTGAATTTGATCTTGGCCATGACCTTCAAGGTCATTTGGAAGTCAACTTGAAAAATTTAAATGGGAACCCCTATTTTTTATTACACTGTTTTCTCTACCAATTAATGTGAACAACTGTTGTCTAAGACATTTTTTTATTTGCCTAATATTTGTTGAGATATTTGAGAAAAAACTAAATAACTTTTTCAATATTTAACTTACGATATCTTGCTATTTGTCGAAAGAAAAAGTAGTACTACACTTTCTTGCTTTATTTAGTCTCAAGAATGTATTATTATAATAGTGCCCTAACTTTTGTTAATTTAATAATTTTGAAATTTCCAAAGGTTGATAAGTTAACAAAAGTTAGGACACTATTATAGTAACATATTCTTGATAATAAATAAAGTATTAAGTCTAATACTATTTTTTCTTTCGTCGAATTGACCGAGATATCGTAAATTACCGAAATATCGTAAATTAAATGTTGAAAGTTACCAAGTTTTCCTTAAATATTTCAAAAAATATTAATTAAGGAAATAAAAAATAATTCAGACAAAAGTTGTTAAAATTAATTGGTAGAAAAAGAAGATATAATGAAAAATTGAGCTTTCTATTAAAAAAAATTAAATTGACCTTCAACTGACCTTGAAAATACCTTCCAAATAAAAAACTGATAATGCCAGTCTCTTTCCCCTTCGAAATCATGGAACACATGTTTTAACTTATTTTTATCTTTCATAGTTTTCAGGATTTTTTACCTGTTACGTTTGAAATTTAACACCCTGTATAGTGCTAACAACGTGCCTACAACCCTGTACAAAATGCTTCAGTATGCTTACAAATATACAAGATCTGTTTTGACATGCCTACAACTTCGATATTTCGGCCAGCGCCTCAATTCGTATACTCATTTAGTCATTGCCCTTAATTTTGTTGTGTCATTCAGTTTTTGTGCTTTTATACAAGAAGACTCTTCCGAACTTTTGCAGGACTATAAATCTTGCATATAGCATTATACGGCTGCGGAACTAATTATGAAAAAACTTATATTCAACTTGAACGTAGCATCTTACAAGAGAAGGGTCTGACGTGTAAATATAATTTTTAGCTGCATCTCGTAGCGATAAATATTCATGCACATTAGTATTAGGTAAAAGTATAATGAGTAAGAAAATTTTGTTCGCGAGAAAATGAAAAATAAAAATTCAGAAGGCCTTATAACCAATTTAAATAAAGCGTTCAAGGACCGCGTGGAGGAGCGGGAAGGCATGTCTGTGAAGTTAACACGTCAAACTATCAATATGAAAAAAGCAAGTAGAGTTCTAATAGCGCTTTTGATAGTTCTACAGTTTCTCTATAACGAAAAAAAAAATAATTCTGCAATAATATACCCAAAAAATAAAAAATAAGAGTACAACGTGCTAGGTTCGCACAGTTACCACGTCGCTTCTTTCTCTAACGTACAAGAAGCAATCAAAATTGCACTATCCGTAGATTTTTATCCAAAAAATGAGTTTTTTCCCACTGTGCGCCGTTCCGCGCTTAGCGGCCGAGGCGACGATCACGGGCCGCTGAGGTCCGTCGCTATATAAGAAATCAGCTGGAGCGCATCTTTGTGTCATATTATCATTAAACACACATAAACATATATATTTTAAAATAATTATTAAATGAGGAAAAAATTATTAAATGAGGACAAAATTTTAATGATTTCCCGACAATAGTTGTCGCGAGCATTTTTGGTCTGTCTGTGTAGCCGCCGCAGCGTATATGTCATTGACCGGCCGGTCATCCTCGCGTACCGCTTACGCGTCGCGCGATATCGATATCGTCGTTAGGTCTAAGAAGTTCGGCGGCTCTTTTTAGTTTTAGATCATCAAAATACAAGCGCAAAAATATAGAACGGCGAGGATTTGTAACTGCAGTAAGTCAGGATGACATTTAACCCTTTGTGGTCGATGCCGCCACAGTGGCGGCATTCGCAAGTCGACATAGAAGTCAGTGCCGCCAGGCTGGCATTCATGATCGCCTGGCGTGCGGCACGGCGAACGAGGCTAGCGATAATGAAAGAAAACTATCCTCCCGATGCTAGATTCAAATGTTTAGATCAACTTACAGATATTAATGTTTATCGATCTCTTCGAAATCTGCCGACTGCAAAGGGTTAATCAATTTCATTAATTTAATTAATAGAATAAAAAATGCGTATCCTTGTACTTCCTGTGCGTACTCTTATCTCATAGGTTGTCCAAGAGTACGCATTTGCAGCATTTCATATTGTTAATTATTTGAAACACTATTAATTCAATTATATCAATTTCAATTTTTAGTAGTGTCAGTACACAACAGATAACACTTCATATTCAGTGTTAGTTTGGAGTAAGTATGTCGTATCGTTACAAATTGTACAGTGTACAATTAATTAAATGTAAAAAATGCGTACTATTATCCGCATTTCCTCTATATAGAAAATTATTATTGCAGAAAGATCTACCTGTATTAAGTATTAATGTATTATATCTTGCATCCTTCTGCATTGGGAATTTGAATAATCGTTTTCCAGTTGATTTTCCATTCTGACAATCTTTATACATGTACCTGTTATAAGAGCTATCTTCTGGAGTCAACATAGTCTTTATATTTTTATTTGCAATGCAGTGCAAAAAATAATTTTAGATATGTGAGAAGAAAATGTAAAAAGTAAGAAACTAAAAATGACAGAATAAAGAGAAAAATAGAAAAAGGAAAAAAAAAGCAACACGTAAAAGGAAAAAAAAGAATGAATAAATGAACCAATACAATGAAGTATATACACCAATACAGGCGTATATAAATATATTTATTAATAATGGTATTGGGCAAAAAATCGTAATACATGTTGCAAAAGAGACAGATCACGTAGATCTGAGAGATCATTTAGAAACAAATGTTGTAAAACACTAATCTCACGAAGGAAAAAAAGACTGCAGCTCAGATCAAAATATTTATCACAAAGCACGAATAGCGAAGCACCGCTATAACAAACGTTATTGTGAACCTCGCGACGCAGATTGACTATTCTTGGCGACAGGGCCTAGACGCTAATCAATATCCAGTAAACATACATGTCTAAAAGACGTCTAAAAGATTTCTTTAAGACATTTTTTACACATACAAGTCTAAAAATTGTCTTAAAAAAAGCTTTTAGACGTCTTCAAGACATATGTTTACTGAGTACATTATATTAAATTGTAACTTCTTATTTCACTTTTTACCTTATATTTTAATATTGTCTTATTGTTACTGCAGCATTACAAAATATTATTGAAGCAGCGGTGGTAGCTGCACTAGGAAGAGGAAGAGGAAGAGGAAGAGGAAGAAGGACAGGGAGAGGAAGAGGAAGAGGGACAGGGAGAGGAAGAGGAAGAGGTGGAAGCGAAAACGCAGGAAGAGGAAGAGGAGAATGGAGAGGAAGAGGAAGAGTAAGAGGAGAATGGAGAAGAAGAGGCAGAGGAATGCCCTATATAAATATTTATATGACGCAATAACAAATATATACACACGCACGCACGCGCGCGCGCGCGCGCGCACACACACACACACACACACACACATACACACACACACACACACACACACACACACACACACACAAGAAAATAAAAAATTGAAAATATAATATATTACTTATATTTATTTCTTATCCTAAATAATTTCCTTTCCTAATTACGCGAATCGCAGTGCGTGAAATATTCCAGCAAACACAATATTACATGTAACGTGGATTAGTTTTTTATATTATTTTTCTTATATATTGTTATTTATGACATTTCCTTAAAAGTATTATTTATGATTGTGAAAATGACTTTTTTGTATACAGTATTTCAAATTCGATAATCTTATTTACATTTCTATCGAATAATTATTTTGCTCATCATATCTTGACTATTATACTGAAAGAAAACTGATAAAGATCTTAGTTCATAACTATTATATAACATTTGTGTTATATAACAGTTATATTGTTGAATAGGAAATTACAATTTACATGCACATTATATGTAATATTGTGTTTGCTGATGATTCCTCCTGATGATATATATAATTTTTACTATATTCTGTGTAGTAGCTCAGATATGAACCAAACTATTACAGACAAACCTCGTTACCGAACAACATCGACGTAGTTAACGTCTATTTTCTCAGAGGGTACGTCGAATTCATAAAAATTTCTGAACCTTCGCTGATGGCCGCTCTTAGATTTCTCTCTGCTTACACCCATACGGTATTTATAGTCGAGTTTCAAGGCGATACTGAAGATCGTCTTAGTCAAGATTATCTTATTGAATGAAGATCACCTTAAAATCGATATAATTCATAAACATATATTAAGATAATCTTTGCGAAGAAGTTCTTGTCTAAGAAACTCTTATTCTATTTGAGAATATCTTCGCAAAGATTTGATTAAGATGATACTTATTGATCATTCGGCTATTTCCGTATTATTTCTTTTAGGCCAACCAATAAAAATGATCCTTCCTTTGAGCTGAAGTGGTTAAAACAAGAGTGGTCTGTTCTTTTTAACTGTACTACTACACTAGTGCAACAAGTTAAAGTGGACATGTGAGAAATGTGATACACTTGATTAAAAGAATTAACAAATTTTTATTTGCTACTTGTCTCATTGTAAGATTTCAATCTTTAAAATTAAAAAATTTGAAAATGTCGAAGAATAAACATTATACAACTGTGGAAAGAAAACTTTTCGTAGAGATATTAAAAGATTTTAAGCACGTCATTGAGGTTAAAAAAAGTGATTCTTCAACATTTCATGACAAAGAACTTGCATGGGCTGAAATTTGTAAGAGATATAACGATTCTTCCATGATTATGCAAGAAGTAAATATAACAAAATTAATTATACTACGTACAGAAAAGTTTTGAAATACAGCTCTAGATATATTAGTGATATAAATGTTTTCCCTTTTGCAGCGTACAGTTCAACAGCTAAAGAAACTCTGGACAAATATTAAACAAACTCAAAGAGAATTATTAACTAAAGAAAAACAAGCTCGTCTAGCCACTGGTGGTGGCCCGCCACTACCAGAAATAAACATTGATCCTGATGTTGCCATAATAGCACCACATCTTTTAAAAACAGCTCCTGTTCTGTTTACATCTAATATGACAGAAAATGAGATAAATGGTAGGTAACTTTAAAAATATATTTAAAAATAAATAAAGAAACATAAGTAAGGCATATATATATATTTATGTATAAATTTCTTACTATTAAACACAATATAGACTGCGTTCCAATCATTGCCAAACATTGCCAGCCTTCACAAACTATAGGTATATTCCATTTCTCGCATGAAATGCATGATGCATACATTTATCTATAGTTCATATTACATATATTATAGAAAATGTTCACATTATGCGCTTCATGCTAGAAACGGAATGCATCTTACAATTGATGTCACGTATATTAAATATTTTCAGCACTGTCAATAATTTTGAAACGGTCATAGTTGCACATGCTAAAGATATAATTTTACTAGATAGAAAGAATTTTACAAATATTTATTATAATTCATATATTAATATATTTTATTTATGATTCAGAGAAAGGAGAACATGTTTTGAATCTTTTAGTAAATGATGACATCTCATCATTATACGGGAGTAATGTTGATGAGCTGAATGATAAAGAAATTAACAAAACACAAGGTATTTTCGATTAAAATTAATTCAAAATTAAATTTACATATACCATACTATCTGCGAGAAGGTACATAATTTGTTAATTATATAGATTTTATTAATACTTTTATATTTACTCAATTATATACAATAGAAAAAATAAATACGTTTATTTAAAAATATTGTCAAATAATTTAGATTCATTATTAACGATTTTCAGATATAATAATGGAAGAGATGATTGACAAAGAGAACCAAGATACTAATCTTTGTAATGAAGGTAGTATAAACTATTTTTTACTTATTTTATAGTGTTAATGAGAGGAAGTAACTAAATATTATTGTTTTTACAGTTTTTGAGCCGAAAGAAGAAAATAAATTGGATTTTGCCTGTACGCGACCAGTAAAAATAGCAAAAGGAAAGAGAAATATAAAAGAAAATTTTGTTAGCGAGGAAGATACTGTAAAGATAAAAAGAATAAAGCAAATCATAGAACAAGAGAAAGATATATCAGATATAAAAAAATTTCATGAGAAAAGAATTGCTACAATGAAAGAAAATCTTCAAACAGAATTATTTGCTTTACAAATTCGAGAAGCTACTGCGAAAGCTGAGTTAACCGAGTTACAATTACAAAGGGAGAAAGAAAATATGCGTTTTTAAAAGAAGTCTGTAAAAGGAAATATCGAAGTCCATTTAGCCAAAGAAATATTATAAGAGAAAGTTATTTATTTTTAGCTGCAAGAAATAATATTAAAGTATTGAATAATATAGATTAACCGTATTATGTTAGTGTCCGATAACTCACTGCACAGCCACGATGTATACAAAATATTTTTCACTTTGTTATATTTTGTTTTATTATAAAAGAAAATTTAAAAATTTTATTTTTAAAATATATATAATAATAATATACATAATTAACAGTGGAAATGTGCAATAAAAAGTAAAAGACTGAATAAAATTTACTTTGTTACTTTTTGTTTATTGTATAAGTTGTGTAATAAGTTATATAATAAACTATCTATACAATCTCTCAGTAAGTGCTTCTCGCATTACAAAACCCTCTCCCGGCTGCCAGTGTGGTTCAATTGGTATTTCTATTTCATTATTTTCTTCAACTTCTTCTTCTGGTAACATATCATTAAAAATTAAAGACATGTTATGCAGCACAGCACACGCAACAACTATTGTTGTTGAACTAATTAACTTGTTGCTTAATCCTCTAGATAAGCACGGAAATCTACGTTTCCATATCTCAAATGTTCTTTCAACAATCTGACGTGTTCTTCCGTGAAGTACATTATAACTGTAAAAAAATACATTTGTTTACTAACGTTTTATAAAAAAAAATATATATATAACCTAATGTAACCACAGAAAAATACTAACGCAATTTCCTCATCTGTTTGCGGATTCTGAATAGGAGTTAAAAGAAATGGTAAACAGAGATATCCTGCATCTCCTACTAGAATATCTGGCAACTGACGTTGAAAGTATTTCATGTATATAGCAGAATTTTGAAAAATTCTACTATCATGTTGGCTTTTTTTTTTTTGGTCACGCAGGGGAAATCCATCATGGATACCCCCTCCCCTTGGGGAGGAGGGGATTATGTCGGACTCTTACCGACTAAAACCCCTGCGGGATGTCTACCTGTCGGACCGTGAGGAGGGAAGTCGGGGGAACTACTCCCGTATTCCCTCTCAAACCCCCCGGCCCCAGGGCTCCCTTCCGGGAGCCCCTCGCCACCTATGTACCGCGCCCTGTTCCACGAAGGGAATCCAGGGCGCGGTCTCCGACGAGGGTTACCCCCCGCCGGTTGGCCTTCTGTCCCCTGTCAAGGAGGGAAAGGACATCCACCCCCTCTCCTTACCCCCCTGCTAGTCAGGGTGGGGAGGATTTGTAGGGGAGCGGGCCCGGCCCCACCCGGGGCACCGCTCCCCCCTGTCCCTACTTGTCCGATCGCTTGGGGGGGGAAGGCAGGGAAGGCGTCTCGCCGCCCCCTACTCCCCCCTTACGACCGGAGGCGGGCCCGGGGCGGCCGAGGGAACTCCCGACCCTCGCGGATCTGTGAGCCCCCCTCGGCCGGCGCTGCCCCGGGCACGATGTCGCGTCCCTCGTCCCCCTGGGGGCGTTGCCCGCCCGGGAGCTGCTCCCCGCAGCCCCGGTACGGTCTTGGCCCCCACTCGGCGGTCTCCTTCTGGGATTACTATCTCGCAGAAGGAGACTGCCGCTGTCCACGCCTCCTCGCTCCCGCATATGGCTTTGACTATGTGCGGGAGCGAGAGCTCCCCCTCTCGGCATCCCACCGCCCCGCAGGGGACACGGACCCATGCTGGGCACGCGACCAGGGTGTAGTGCGCCGTGTCCTCCGCCGTGGGGCAGTGGTGGCATCGAGTGGTGAGCTCCTTCCTTATCCGGCGCAGGTACCGACCGAAGCACCCGTGCCCGGTTAGCACCTGCGCCAGACGGAAGGATAGTCCACGTCCTCTCCTGCCTGTCAACTCGGACAGGCAGGAGCGGACAGCCGCGGCCGTCGCTGGCCCGGGACCCCGGGGGTCGGACAATAGGTCCGCCCATCTCCCCCGGGTCCGGGCCTCGGCCTGGAGCCTCAGACCCCTTAGGGCCCTGACCGACACTATTCCCTTCCTGCGGAGCTCCTTCACTCTCCAATATAGAAGGTGACGCTCCTCTGCGAGGAGCTCCACAGGGGGGACGCCGGCCAGGGTGGTCGTCGCCATGTACGACACGGTCCGGTACCCCCGAATCGCCCTGATTAGCACGGGCCGCATGGCCAGCCGCAGTGCGCGCTTGCCGCCGCGGCAGGCCCCTAGCTGTGGCGCCCATATGGGCGCCCCGTACAGGGCGATCGAGAGCACCGCCGTGACGTACAGGCGGCGAGCTCTCCATCCTGGGCCCCCTTGGGTGCGTGTCAGGCTGGCCACCGCCAGTCCTGCCTTGCGCATCCTGGGGGCCAGTTCCCCAAAGTGGGGTCCGAAGCTCCACTGGCTGTCCAGCGTCAGGCCGAGATATCGCATCGTCGGCCCGACGCGGACGTGAACTCCATCTACGAGCACCTGGGTCCCCAGTGGCACCCTTCGACCCCTGCCGTGAAAATACACGGCCTGGGTCTTTTGGGGCGCCACCTTGAGACCCAGGTCTCTGATTGTACTCACCACCGATACCAGTGCCGTCTCCGCTAGGAGGCGGGCTTCCCCCCAGCTCTCCCCCCCGGCTACCACTAACGTGTCGTCCGCATAGCAGACGACGTGGCAACCGGGAGGAAGCGGAGTGCGCAGCACCCGGTCGAACGCGATGTTCCATAACAGGGGGCCGAGAACCGACCCCTGCGGAACACCGCGCTCCATAGCGCGCCGGCCTTGGACCCCGCCTTCCACCGGGAAGGCGAGGTCCCTGCCCCCGAAGTAGGCCGAAATTATTCGCCGGAGATAGGCGGGCACCCCATGGTGTTCGAGGGCCCGCCCAACCTCCGGCCAGGCCAGGGTGTTGAAGGCATTCGTTATGTCCAACGAAACCGCCAACACCCCGCCCTCTTCCTCCACGACCGCCTGGGCCAGATCCCGGAAGCATTGGATAGCATCCAACGTCGATCTTCCGGGCCTGAACCCGTATTGACGGTCGTGGAGATCCGGCCCCTCCGATGCTGGACGAGGCGGTCTGCAACGATGCGCTCCAGCATCTTGCCCGCCTCGTCCAGCAGGCATATCGGCCTGTAGGCCGATGCACTCCCGGGTGCTTTGCCCTCCTTGGGGAGGAAGACCAATTTGGCCCTCCTCCACTCTGGGGGGAATACCCCCTCCTTGAGGCACCCGCTGAATACCCTGCGCGTGGCTTTGGACAGGTTTCCCTCGCCGAGGGCGAGAGCCCAGGCTCGGCCAGGAATTCTGTCGGGGCCAGGGGCTTTCCCCTTGGCCCCGAGCCTTTTCCTGGCCGCGGTGAGCTCCTCTGGACTCACCGCCAGATCCTCGTCCCAATCACCCTCCTCCAATGGGGGGGTCGGGATCATGGGGGGGCCCCCTTCTGCCCTCGGAAAGAGGGCGTCCAGGAACCCCTCGAGGGTCTGACGGTTCAACGTCTCCGTTGGTGGGGGCGCCCATGGACGGATCTTTCCCATGACCCTTTTGTATGGGCGCCCCCACGGATCGTCGTCCAGGGAGCTCACCATCTGCTCCCAGGCCGCTCGCTTGGCCTCGACGATGGCGACCTTGAGGGCTTTCCTGGCTTGCAGATAGCCCTCTCTTGTCCTCGCGGCATCCCCGCCTCGTCGCCGGGCCCGGTAATACAACCGTCTGGCTCGGACGGAGGAGTCCCGGAGTGTCTCCAGCTCCTCCGTCCACCATTACATGGCCCGGCGCCGGCGGGGGTGGGATTGGGGCATCGCGACGTCGCATGCCGACGCCACGATGCCCACTATTTCCCCAGCCCCGTCCGCGGGGCTGAGGTCCTACTCACTTGGCCCCACATTTAGGTGCCAGGTGGCCGCAAGGACGGCCACCCGAAACCTGTCCGAATCGAATCGATTAAGGGCCCATCTTTTGGGGAAGGGAAAGTTCCCCTCCCCAAGGCAGCGGGCCAGCATCTGTGCGGGTTTGGGGAGGCGGAGGGCCCACGCTATATGTCTATGATCAGACAGCGATTCGCCCTCCGCCTCCACCCTCCATTCGTGGAACATCCCGGCGGCCGAGGGGGTGGCCCAGGTCAAATCTATGACCGAACTCCCCCCCGGCCGCACACAGGTGCTGGTTGAGCCCCTGTTCATCAACAGGAGGCCCAGCCCCGCTGCCAAGCCGATCACGGACTCGCCCCGAGGGTCCCTTTGCCGGGGACCCTTCCGAGTGGGCGTTGAAGTCCCCGGCAATCACGACAGGCCGGGGATGGCACCTACGTACCAATTCCCTGATCCTGTCGAGGATCCTCTTCACTGGGGCGAGCTCCCCGAGACCGGCCTTATTCCTGCGGTAGGGGAGATACACCCCCACCACAGTGATGGGCCCCCAATCGACCGCCACGTACGAGGACCCGTTCTCCCTAAAAATACAGGGAGGGGTCCCCGCCGCAGGGTTCGCCACCATGGCCACCGAGCCGTCCGGGCTGCCGTACCAGTTCGTACTGGTTACCGGCACCCAGTACGGCTCGGCGACCACCCCCAGCCCGGCGCCTAGCTCAGCCATTCTCTGTAAACAGAGATCCTGAGCCCGGGCGCCGTGGCCGAGGTTGGCCTGTAGGGCCCGGAGTAGCGTGAAGGCTAGGCCTTTCACGCCTCCTCCGGGCGGCCTACTTTAACCCCCTCCTCTTGGGAGACCTCTGACGGTACTGCCGTCATGGTCTCCCCGGAGGGGGTTTCGGCCAATGTGGCCTCTATCACGGGTGTCTCCGCGGAGATTTGGGGGGTCCCTACCTTCGTGGTCTTCTCCTCTGGGGGATACGAGGGGGAGCCATCCTGTAGGGGAGTCGGGGGCAGCGCTCCCACCGACTCCCCTTTCTCTACCTCCGATGGGAATGGGCCCGAGGGCTCCACTCTCCTCACCTTGTTCACCTGTCCGTCCTCTCCTGGGTCGTCCTCCTTCCTGTCTGTCTATTCTTCCTCTCCTTTCCTCTTCCTTCGAGGCTGAGGCGTTTCCGACTCGTGGATCATCTCCAGCTCCCACCCGAGGTCGATGAGGTCCACGGAGACGACGTCCACTTCCTCCTCCGGGACTCCTGCCTGGGGGGGGGGAGTTGGGGTCGTTCTGGCCGTCTCTTCTTTCTGTGGGGGGAGGCCTGTCGACTCCCTTTCCCCTGGCTGGTCGAGTTCGGTCCTCCGGTGATGGCGGTTCGGGCCTCCCCCC